GGAGGGGAGAGGGGGAGGGGAGGAGGAGGAGGAGAGGAAGACGGGGGAGGAGGACGAGGACGAGGGGGACGAGGAATGATGAAGGCCAGGGGGGGGAGCGATGGGAATGCACCTGAAGCAAGCGGGGCGGGGGCGCGACGCGGCCCCGCCCCGCTTGCTTCAGATGCATTCCCATCGCTTCAGATGCATTCAGCGGAGCGATGGCCGAAAGAGCGCCCCTAAAGCTCCCAAGAGCGCTCCAAGAGGACCCCAAGAGGCGCCCAGACGGCCCCAAGAAGCCTCCAAGAGGCTCCCAAGAGACCTCCAAGAGGCCCCCAAGAGGCGTCAGGCAGACGCTCCAGACATCCGCGGAGGCTATTATGTCTGTCCGTTTTCCTCCTCCTCCTCCTCCTCCTCCTCCTCCTCCTCCTTCACCCACATCTTTGTCTGCATCTTTTTGTGCCCGGCCGAGTGTCTGGGTGCCCGGGTGCCAGGGTGTGTGTCTGGGTGTTTGGGTGGTTGGGTGTTTGGGTGCCCGGACGCCAGGGTGGGTGTCGGGGCGTCCGGGTGCCCGGGTGCCCGGGTGCTGCCTGGGTGTCCGGGCGTTCGGGTGTCCGGGTGCCCGGGTGTCCGGGTGCCCGGGTGCCCGGGTGCCCGGGTGCCCGGGTGCCCGGGTGTCCGGGCGTCCGGGCGTCTGGGCGTCCGGGCGTCCGGGCGTCCGGGCGTCCGGGCGTCCGGGTGCCCGGGCGTTCGGGCGTCTGGGTGTCCAGGTGTCCGGGTGTCCGGGTGTCCGGGTGTCCGGGTGTCGGGGTGTCCGGGCGTCCGGGCGTCCGGGCGTCCGGGCGTCCGGGCGTCCGGGTGTCCGGGTGTCCGGGTGTCCGGGGGTGTCCGGGCGTCCGGGCGTCCTGGCGTCCGGATGTCCGGGTGTCCGGGTGTCCGGGTGCCCGGGCGTCCGGGTGTCCCGGTGGTGCCCGGGTGTCCAGGCGTTCCGTGTCCGGGTGTTCCGGGTGTACCGGGTGCCCGGGTGGTCCGGGTGTCCGGGTGCCCGGGCGTCCGGGTGCCCGGGTGTCCGTGCCCGGGTGTCCGGGTGTCCCGGTGTCCGGGTGTCGGGGTGTCCGGGTGTCCGGGTGCCCGGGTGTCCGGGTGACCGGGTGTCCGGGCCGGCGCCCGGGTGTCCGGGTGCCCGGGCGGACGCCGGGGCGGAGGAATAGTCAGATTGTGCTTACCGGGGGCAATCGGGAATGGGCCCAGAACGAAAAACTACATACCCTCGGGGTCGCGAGCTCGGGGGCCACGTCTTGAACAGCATCTTACGCATCGAAAGATGTCTGGGGTTGCGTTCTGGCAGCCGCGCCTCGCTGAGAGAGCTCCGGGGGCGCCGGCGAATCGCGTCCCCGGCGGCCACCGGAGACACGAGCTACGACCCGAAGACGAGTGACTCGTACGACGAAGCCAGGACGAGGATAAAATCAGGTGAGGATAACTCGAAAATCTTTGACATCCGGCGGCTCTGGAGGATGTCTCCGGCACCGTGGACGCTCTTAGAACGCTCTGGAGCGGATTGCTCCTCGTCCTGGCCCCGTGCGGCTCTTCGCCGTTCCGATGAGCTGCGGGCGTGGCGCTCTGTCGCATGCCGGGCGTCTTCGCCAGCAACTTTGGTGCCCCAGGGGGGTCAGACTGACCCGGCTGGGGAAGAATGTCGCAGGAAGATGGCGACTACAAGGCCCCCATCGTGATGTTCCCCGACGTTCGCCGATCCGAGTTGTCCAATGCGCGGCCCAGAGGTTCCGACCCCTGTCCCGGGACCACTCTTTCGCCCCGCGGATTCGTGTTTGATGGCTCAGGGCCTGATGACTTGCCTTGGAGGGCGAAGTCAAAGAACAACGGCCAAAGGGAAAAAAAGGCGCAGTGGGAGATCTGGGGTCTGGGGCCCCCGTCGAGATTCCGCACGATGGTATTTTTTCCCACAAGCGCCGCCCCCCCCCGCACCCGCCCAAAAAGCCTTATCCTCGCTCCTCCGCCTCCCCCATATCAATCTTCAACCTCCTCCTCCTCCTCCTCCTCCTCCTCCTCCTCCTCCTCCTCCTCCTCATAAGCCTCAACCTCCCCCTCCTCCCCCTCAACCTCATAAGCCTCAACCTCCCCCTCCTCCCCCCCTCCTCCCCCTCCTCCTCCTCCTCCTCCTCCTCCCTCCTCCTCCTCCTCCTCCTCTCCTCTCCTCCTCACTCCTCTCTCCTCTTCCTCGGTCGAGTTCTGGGGGCCCACGCAGGCCCACCTCCCTACCTCCGCCACCTCCTCCCTCCTCCCGCTGCTCCCGCATCCTACTCGTCCTCGCTTCGCCGCGAGCCTCCCCTCCCCCTCAACCTCATAAGCCTCAACTCCCCCTCCTCCCCCTCCTTCCCTCTCCTCCCCTCCTCCTCTCCTCCTCCTCCTCCTCCTCCTCCTCCTCCTCCTCCCTCCTCCCCCTCCTTCTCTCGTTTCCTCCTCCACCCCTCCGCATTCCCTCCTCCTCCTCCTCCTCCTCCTCATGCCCCTCCTCGTTCCACATCCTCCTCCTCATGCCTTAACCTAGATCTCGACCCCGATGTGTTCTTCCTCCCTCACCTCCCTCTTCACCTCCGCCACCAATTCAGCTCTCTCCCCCTCGTTTGCCCACTCCTCCTCCTCCACCTCGTCCTCCTCCTCCTCCTCCTTCTCCTCCTCCTCCTCCTCCTCCTCCTCCTCCTTCCCTTCCTCATACAATTCTTCTCCGCTCTCTCCTCTCTTCGCTCCCCTGTCCTCTCATCCTGCACAGCTGCACGACATTCACACTACTCCTCCCCCAAAGGCGTGCTGCTAATGTCCACCACGTTTCCGTGAATTGCTTGTTTACGCAAGATTTCAAACATTTTTGCTTCCCTTTGTGTTTGTTTCTCCGATTCGAGCGCTTCCTGTCCGTCCAGAAGTCTGCTCCCACTGCAGAGTGGGCGTCATTTCACGATGGCGGCTTTGCTAACCTCGTTCAGAATAGCGCTCTCGCCCCAGCGCGGCCTACTTTTCTAAATCCGAGTCCTTGCCCATCATTATCGCCCCGTTTCTTTCTCCTCCGCCGCCTTCCCCTGTTCCTCTTGCTCCTCCCTCTCCTTGAGCTTCAGATCCTGATGCTGCTGTTCGTCCGTGTCCTCCTCATTCCTCACCCGTTTGTTTTCGTTCTGCTCATTCTCCTGTTCATCCGCCACCTTCTTCTCCTCCTGTACGCGCAACTCCCCTTTTCCGATTGCGCGCATGACACGATGGTTGTTCTGTTGCTCGTGTTTGGGAGTTCCAGGTCCGCTATGGAAAGACACATCAGCGCAATGGGAAAGGATGGGGGAGAGGGGGGTACAATAGTAAGATGTCAGATGCGCCGCGAGCGCACCCAGCTTGCCTCCTCCCCCTTTCCCTTTCCCTCCCTCCCCCTTCCAAACTCCTTCTCCTTCTCCGTCTCCGTTTGCGCCCCCGTCCGCTTCCCCAACCCCTCGACGCCATCATGTGTGCACAACGCCGACCTCCAGACGTCTCGACCCCTTCCCCGGGGACCCGCTTTTCATCCGGAATCGTCTTTCGACGGTCCCAGGGAACAGCGAGGGCCCCTGGAGGCGGAACACAGCGAAAACAAACTCCGTCGTGATCTCCTCGCGACTCGAGGGGGTCTGGGCCTCCTTCTATATTCGATCGGGTCCCAGGGAATGGTTCGGTCCCAGGGAACAGCAAGGGCCCCTGGAGGCGGAACGCAGCAAAAACAAACTCCGTCGTGATCTCCTCGCGACTCGAGGGGGTGTCTGGGCCTCCTTCTCCGACGACGTCGGCCACGGCCGCGGCGACGGCCGACGACGGCCGACCGAGACCCGACGACGAGCACCTGGCGCACCAGCGCGTCGAGGGCCTCGCCCGAGAGCCGCCAGGAGCCGAAGGCACCGGCGCCCTCGCAGATGATCTCCCTCACCTGGGGGGGGGGGGGGCAGGAGGGAGGAGGAGGAGGAGGAGGAGGAGGAGGGAGGAGGAGGAGGAGGAGAGGAGGAGGAGGAGAGGAGGGAGGAGGAGGAGGGGGAGGAGGAGGAGGGGGAGGAGGAGGAGGGGAGGAGGAGGAGGGAGGAGGAGGAGGAGAGGAGGAGGAGGGGGAGGAGGAGGAGGAGGAGGAGGAGGAGGAGGAGGAGGAGGAGGAGGAGGGGGAGGAGGGGGGGGGGGAAGGAGCAGGAGCGAGTGAAGACTCGCGGTCCTCGTCCGTTCGGAGCTCGGCCAGCTTTAAGCCGGGCCCGTCCCCCTACAGGGGGAGTTTGGACGAAACATAAAAAATGGCCAAACCATACCCTACAATATTCGCAAACGGTCCCAAAATAGTCCCCGGACTATGTTTTGACTATTTTTGAATATTCCTCCTGTAGAGGGACAGGCTCGACTCCAGGTTCGCTCGGCCGCGCGGCGCCCAGGCCTCTCAGGGCGCGCGGAGCGGATCAGAAGCCGTCGCAGCAGTGGTTGGGGGAAGAGGAGGTGAGGAAACAACGGCCCCTCCTCCTCATCCTCCCTCCTTCTCCGAGGCGGGGATCTACCCATAACCACCGCCTGGGGGATCGATCTTCGGGAACTTCGGCAGGCGGTGAATCTGGATGCATCAGCACCCAGCAATTGTTAGAGTGAGCGGGTGGTCGCGACATGGGTCGCGGGTGGGTCGCGGGGTGGGCCTCCTCCTCCTGCTGCCGTTCTTCCTCGGTGCTCGGTACTGCGAGCATGAGAGGTGTACCGCAACGCTGCCGTGACGTATCCTCCTCCTCCTCCTCCTCCTCCTCCTCCTCCTCCTCCTTCGCCTCCTCCTCCTCCTCCTCCTCCTCCTTCGCCTCCTCCTCCTCCTCTCCCTTCCGTCCGTCCATCTGTCCTCCCTTCCCTCGCAGTCCTCCCTGTCAAGCGCGGGCTTCCAACCAGCCGGTGACCGACTCCTCCGTCAGGAGATTCTTGGAACGCAGGTACGCGATCGCGTTCTCCCACTTCTCGCACGCGAACGTCGCCTGTCGGAGGGGGGCGGTCGAACACATAAGGACATCTTCGATGTTACAGGATGCTGTCGGGCATCCTCGCACGATTCCAACGCTTCCTGAAGCTCACGAATGGTTTGCGGCAGCGTTCGCATATTGCCAGAAAGTGCCCATCACCCGGGTGCGCCGAAGAGGGGGGCAAGGCAGAGGAGGGGGGTTGGGCGGCATGGCCTGAGGCATATGCGTGGGCGAAGTGGGGGCCAGGGGCCGCGTTGACAGGAGAAGAGGGGACCATGGAATCTTGGAGATAGCATGGCCCCGACGATGACACCCACGCATCCCCTCATGGCCGACTCCTAAAACATTGACCCACACAACCCTGCAATCTCTACTTACGCCGGCTGCCGCTGGCCTTCCGCCGGCGGAGCCGCCACCGCTTGACTTCCGCCGGCATCCGCCGCCTCTCCGCCGAGCAGGACCTGCCATGTCCGTCGACCCGTCGAAGGCAGGAGCCTTTTTCTGGAGCTCGCTGCGCAGCTGCGCTCTCTGGCGCCCGCCTGCACTTCGCCGGCACGCCCGCGACGGCCTGCACGATCTGAGCGGCTCTGTCCCCTCCCCCCCAAGAGGCTCTCCCCGCGCTCCGCGGTGCCCCGATTCGCGTCCGCCGCGCACCGCCCGTAGCCCGACCGGCGCCTGCACCTGCCTCGACTCGCTCGTGCCCGCTGACGTCACAGAGAATGGGCCCTCCTTTTAGTCGGGCGTGTCCCCCTACAGGGGGACTCTCGACGAAAATAACGAATACCAAAAAATACCCCCAAAAGGTCAAACAAAAACCCCCAAATAGTCCCCAGACGATTTGACTATTTTCGAATATTCCTCCTGTAGAGGGACGAGCCCGACTTAAGCCTTCCTCCTCTTTTGAATGTGGAAAGCGGGCTCCGAGGGACACGGGTCTTGGGCGGTGGGGCCTTCCCCCAGGCCGAGTTCTTCGTCCTGAGCCGTCTTCGGACAGCCCCGGGGCAGGTGGAGGGCCCCGGGAGCCTGGGAAGGGCGAGGGCTCGTCTCCCTCAGGACCCGCTCCCCCCATGGCCGCCTCCTCCTGGGCGTCCCCGAAGGGCGGCTGAGCCTCCGCGGCCCGTCATCGCTCGGAAGCCCATTCCCCGTGCATGTTTCGGTTTCGTGGGGTCTTTCCCCCAAACATGATCCAACATGCCCCGCGATGGTCCTCGCCGAAGACAAAAACCCACGCGCTCGAGCGATGCCAAGGCGGGCGCGCTGCTCGGGCCCGGCTCCTGCTGGCACACAGGGAGGCGGGCGGGCCCTCCCACCCTGGAGAAACCCAGATGCTGCGCGACCGATCTTTTTGGGTAGCGGATTGATGCGCGCGTGAGAATGGGTAGCGGACCGGAACGAGAGCAAAATGGGTAGCGCGACCGGTTTTATCATGCGTCAATATGGGTAGCGTAATCATGATGCGGGAAACGCAAAATGGGTAGCGATCAACAATCGCGCGCGCTAGTGTTTGCCCCGCAAAAATGGGTAGCGAAAAATGGGTAGCAACTAAATGCAACGATAACCGTAAGACAAACGTAAGACAAACGTAAGACACACGTTTGTCTTACGTTTGTTGGGTGTGTGTTTTACGTGTGTTTTACTTTTGCATTGCGTTTGTAGGGTTGATATGTTTGCGCTTGCATTGCGTGTGTCGTATGTGTCTTAAATGTAGTTTCCACTTGTTGTCATGAATTTTCTCTTGCGCATGTTTCCGTGTTTCTTATGTTTCGGGACAACCATAATGCGCGCATCTTCCTGAGGGGCACGAAACATGCGAGGGCCCCCCTCGGCCAGGGAAGGCCATGGCGGGGTCGGCGGGGGCGGAAGTAGGCGTGGGAGGTGGGCGGTGGCAATGAGATTGCGAGGCCGACAGTCTTCTCTCCACGAGGTTCGGGTCTCTGCCCCGAACGTTAAACATTCACTTGCGTGGGCACTCCCACAGAACACCTAGAAAGAAGGGCGCGAAATCTCGAAGTCCATCCCCCCCGCGAGCGGAGGGACAGGTTTGCAAAATCTAATCTTTCTCGTTTTCGGTATCCTCTTCGCTTTCGGCATCTCCTCCAACCTCACCCTCTCTCCGCCATCCCGTTCCTTCTGCCGTCGCTCCCCGTCCCCGCCCTTGACCCCCCCCCCTCGCGCGCCCTGTTCCTACCCCCCCCACCCCACTCACCGCTCCCGCCCCATCGCCCTGCTGACTTGTTCCCCACCCGAGTGCCGCGGCGGCAACTGGCGGAGCCACTGATCTACCTTCCAATCCTCCAGCGTTCGCACAGTTTGCGGCTGCACTGCAAGGGCGAAGAGCCAATTTGCACCGTCCCTGCTATTTTTACAACGTGTCGCATGAAATCTTCTGCCATGTAGCACCAAAGCCACCTCGGGTTCAAATACGTGGCGGCTTCTGCAATGTGCCACCACATGTGGTGTTTGTTAACTATGGACCATTTTTTCCTATGTTCATCTGTCATCGAATGCGACGCGAGGGCATGATACATGATGAGCGATGTTTCGACGGCGTCTTGCAACTTTTGTGCAACGGCCGCGTCCAAAAACATTCCAGATGAATCTAAGCAATCGTAGTATGTGCATAACGATTCGCAACAAAGGGTTCGCATTCTTCTAAGATCAGAACCGTCTTCATAATCCTTGCTCAGTTGACATATCACGGGAGCCAGCCAGCGCTGTTGCGCTGCTTTGATTGCTTTCTTTAAAACGGGGCACTGGCTATGTGGACTTTTCAGATTCGCAATGAAACTGCCCAACCCAAAATGTCCGCCCGCCAGGGGCACCCTAGCTGTCGGGCACGCGGCGTTTCTTCTTCCCCGTTCCGTGCTCCCTTCTCCCCCATCATCAGCGTTCCTTTTCTTGTTGTATTCCCTTTTCCCCACCCGTTTTTCCATCCCCTTCCCCATCCTTGAGTTGACCGCCTCCTTTTACCTATCCTCTCACCCTTTTCCTGAGTGCCTCATACATTTCCCCCCTTTTCCCTTCCCCTCCGCCCTCCTCACCCTCTCCCCCCCTCGCCCAGGGGTCTGTCGGGCGCGCGTCTGCAGGGGTAAGTGATCCTGTGGGGAATGTTCCGTTCGTCGTAAATCTTTCGAATACGTCTCCAGATCACAGCGCACGCCTCTGCAGGTGATTCGTCCCGTTGTTCATATATGATCTCTTTCAGGATATTCCCTAATATATGCGAACACGTTCCTTGATCCACCGTGTGCATTGAATCCAAACAAATTGATTCGCCAGTGACGCCCCACACACGGAACACATGATGTGTAAAAACATATGGCACCCGCCGTCGAAATCGCATCCAGTGCCGAGGGAATTGCTCTTTGATGAAATTGTTAAATGGCAGCGTATCTCTGTTCGCTTCGCAGAGCCAGCACATCTGCGATTCGTTCGGCCACGGCGTCCCCAGGTGCGAGCTAAAGAATTCCATGTCCCCTGGGGCGACTGGTCGCAACGATAGCCACTTCCACAGACATACACAAACAAAACATACACTTCGACCCCGAACCCGAGGAATGCTGCACCAGAACCGCACATTGAACAGAAAATCTGCAACCCAAAACTTGCCGCATAATCGATTTTAGACGGGGACCAACGTGGCGTATTCATTGCAACCACAGCCTAGGACGCCGTAAATAAATCCTCTGTATGGCAGCGCAGCTGAACACAAATAGTGGCCAGCTCTCTCGGCATGGCGCGAACCCTCTGCGAAAGGCCTGTTCTTCCAATCCGCCGCCGCGACCAGAGTCGACACCGAGCTGTGAAAGTTGTCGCGCTGTCTCGCCGTGTCTCGCCTTCCATGGCCCCCCTCCACCGCCCGTCGCTTCTATCGCCCTCCCCCCGCCCCCTCCCTCGCAACTCCTGCTCATTCCTCATTCGGTCGGCGACATTGATATCCGCGACGCTCGTCCGACCAGGGGCGCGCGGCATGGCGAAGCCAGTGAATCTGTAGTTGGGTATTTCCCACTTGCGAGAGAATTAAGCGACCAGGCTATGACGTCCCAAATTTCACGCCATGTATCCTTGTCGTCATGTGTTTGTTTGGCCTGTATTGAATATGGCCACCCTGTCACAAACATGTTCAACGAACGAGTCGACCCCACAGCGAGCAAACTCGTCCACGAAATGCACATGAGAGAATCGTTCGTCTGCATCTCTGCACCGTCGCCATGTATACGAAGGGGGATCGCGTGGGCACGGGCGTTATTGCTGAGGTGCCATATTGGATGATTCTTCAAACGCGGGTCGTCTTTAGATGCCCCTTCCCAGAATTTCGGCAAGTGGTCTACACCGTAGATCTCATTAAATACTTCGCGATGGGAGTGGAACATAGATGCAAACATCTCGTGGGGAAGCAGCATGCTACATTCGGCCTTCACTATCTTATTAGTCCTGGGCTCTTTACAATGAACATCGAACGTCTCGGGCTCGGGGAGCGCGTTCCCTCGCAGATATTTGGTCGTGAGTTGCTGATGAATGTTTTGCGGGGCCGAGCCCCACGAGCCCATGGCCGCAATGCTAGCCAATTCAGGATCCCTGGCCCCGTCCCTGTGGGCCGCGTGTGCATATTTTTGGAGGTCCGTGCCAAACAATTTTCCCCATGCCCAATCTTTCAATAGTATCGACGATAACGCTGCATATGTCGGGCGGCCTAATTCATCTATCTCATCGCGTTCGCTGGAGTCGGAATCTGGCGGTGTGTCGGGCTCTAGCCGCCTCTTGATGCATCGCCTCATGGCAAAATGCCTGGGCCAAACGGCATCGGGCGCCTAGAGCGACCAGCAACGGTTGCGAAACGCACATGGATCCACCCGTGCGGGCCCGAGGCAAGGATTGGGAGATGGGGGAGGGGAGGGGGGGGAGGTGCAAGGGGGAGGAATGGCGGTGGAGAGGAAGGAGAGAGGGGGGATGGTAAAGAGAAGGACGTTGGAAAGCGAGGAGGCCCCCTGAACGCCACATGCAAAGGTTTCAGA